GCACCTCACCCTGGATCACTGCAAGACGTTCCCAGCTAGCCCACGCCCCTCTGCAGCCTGCCTTCCTCATGACCTCATGTCTTCAATACCACTTGCCTTCAGGGGAGATGTGAGTGGTTGAGTAACATGTATTCAACACTGCTGCTCAGACACCTCCCTCACAGCTCAGCAACCCTGGGAGGGACAGCCACTGTTACCCTCATTCTACAGTTGGAAGAAATGGAGAGTCAAGATGTGCACTCACTTGCCCAAGGCCTCACAGGGAATAAGAGGCACTTGGACCTGACCCCAGAACCACACACTTTTTTTTTTTTTTTTGGAAACAGAGTTTTGCTCTCATTGCCCAGGCTGGAGTGCAATGGTGCAATCTTTGCTCACCGCAACCTCTGCCTCCCAGGTTCAAGCAATTCTGCCTCAGCCTCCCGAGTAGCTGGGATTACAGGCATGCGCCAACACGCGTGGCTGATATTTTTTTTGTTTTTTTAGTAGAGGCGGGGTTTCTCCATGTTGAGGCTGGTCTTGAACTCCTGACCTCAGGTGATCCGCCCACCTCGGCCTCCCAAAGTGCTGGGATTACAGGCATGAGCCACTGCGCCGGGCCGTACCTTTAGTTTATAGCTTCAGCGCAGACCACCCAGGGTCCTCGTGCCTGCTGTGCGCCACACCACACTCAGAGCCCCACCTGTTCTGCCTCGTGTGCCTCCCTGACATGGTTGGCCTATGGAAAAGTCCTTTAAAAAAAAAAAAGGCGGGGCGTGGTGGCTCACACCTGTGATCCCAGCACTTTGGGAGGCTGAGGTGGGCGGATTACGAGGTCAGGAGATCAGGACCATCCTGGCTAACACGGTGATACCCCATAGCTACTAAAAATATAAAAAAAGCCGGGCGTTGTGGCAGACGCCTGTAGTCTCAGCTACTGAAGCAGGAGAATGGCATGAAGCCGGGAGGCGGAGCTTGCAGGGAGCCGAGATCGCGCTACTGCACTCCAGCCTGCGCAACAGAGTGAGACTCCATCTCAAAAGAAAAAAAAAGAAACTTGTCTGGGCTCGATGGCTCATGCCTGTAATCACAGCACTTAGGGAGGCCAAAGCAAGGGGCGAATCACTTGAGCTGGAGACCAGCCTTGGCAACATGGCGAAGCCCTGCCCCTGCTCCCATCTCTACAAAAAGGAAAATGAAAAAGACTCAATTGAGCACTCTTCCTGTCATGCTAGAATTTCCAGACCTGGAATCTGAGTCTCACCTATGCTTACGTGTAGTAACCTGTACTAACCTGTTTTTTTAGTTCCATTCATATTTATTAAATTTTATCTCAAAATAAATATGTAAACCAAGCCATGATTTTATTTATTATTTATGAGACAAAGTCTCACTCTGTTGCCCAGGCTGGAGTGCAGTGGCGTGATCCCAGCTCACTGCAACCTCCACCTCCCGGGTTCAAGCGATTCTCCTGCCTCAGCCTCCTGAGTAGCTGGGATTACAAATGCCTGACTCTGGCCGGCACAGTGGCTCACTCCTGTAATCCCAGCACTTTGGGAGGCCAAGGTGGGTGGATCATGAGGTCAAGAGATCAAGACCATCCTGGCCAACATGGTGAAACCCCATCTCTACTAAAAATACAAAAAATTAGCCAGGTGTGGTGGCGGGCGCCTGTAGTCCCAGCTCTTCAGGAGACTGAGGCAGGGGAGTCACTTGAACCTGGGAGGCGGAGGTAGCAGTGAGCTGAGATTGCGCCACTGCACTCCAGCACTCCAGCTCTCCAGTCTGGCAACAGAGCAAGACTCCGTCTCAAAAAAAAAACACCAAAAAAACAAGTGCCTGACACCACGTCCGGCTAATTTTTATATTTTTTAGTAGAGACGGGGTTTCACCGTGTTGGCCAGGCTGGTCTCAAACTCCTGGCCTCATGTGATCCACCCACCCCGGCCTCCCAAAGGGCTGGAATTATAGGCATGAGCCACCACGCCCGGCCCCAAGCCATGATTTAAATTTTAGCTACATACTGCTGCCTCTTGAAAGCTCTTAACCTGGGGTTACTCTAAATGGAGATTAGTGTGGAGACACCAGTGCCAACCTGAGGACTTATTTGATCCTTGATGCAGTTGGGGAGGAAAGAGAACTGGAAAAGAACTGTCCTCCTTCCCGATTCCACGTAGGTAACGCCTGTTCTTGTCCTGCAGAAGCAGCCTGGACTCCACCTCCCCAGTGGGTTTTACAGTCCCATTTGCCTGAGGGCATTTTCATCCCTGCTCAGTGTGCTTGGGGGCTTGGGAGCTGCTGGGCTCCGTATATGGTGCTGCACAGTCCTGCCGCCCGCTTGGGGTGGACCCAGAGCCCTGCACCCCCTGAGCTGCACCCCCTGGTTGCCTTGTAGAGATCCAGGTGATGATGGGCAGTCTGGTGTACCTGCGGCTGGGCTTGGAGAAGTCACCCTACTGCCACCTGCTGGACAACAGCCACTGGGCAGAGATCTGTGAGACCTTTACCCGGGACGCCTGTTCCCTGCTGGGGCTTTCTGTGGAGTCCCCCCTTAGCGTCAGGTACAACTTAGCCCTGTGAGGACAGCACAAGTGGGAGGGTGGAGAGGGAATCATCATTTTGCCAAGGCCCTGCCATGTGCCAGGAACAGTGCTCGGTGCTTTCAGAGACTGAAACTGGCTTTCTTAGTCATTCTTCAGGAGAGGAATTACCTGATTTTACAGTTAAACTGAGACTAGGAAGAGTTATGGCCCGAGGTCACCATGAGGTCAGTGGCATGGTCACGGTTCCCATTTTGTAAGGTCTCCTGAATGAGGTCCCTGCCTCTCTTGCACCTCACCCTGGATCACTGCAAGACGTTCCCAGCTAGCCCACGCCCCTCTGCAGCCTGCCTTCCTCATGACCTCATGTCTTCAATACCACTTGCCTTCAGGGGAGATGTGAGTGGTTGAGTAACATGTATTCAACACTGCTGCTCAGACACCTCCCTCACAGCTCAGCAACCCTGGGAGGGACAGCCACTGTTACCCTCATTCTACAGTTGGAAGAAATGGAGAGTCAAGATGTGCACTCACTTGCCCAAGGCCTCACAGGGAATAAGAGGCACTTGGACCTGACCCCAGAACCACACACTCCACCACAGTGGACAGTTGTTACTGTGTATTTAGACTGTTCATGGAGTCTGAATACAGCAGCTCAATATAGTGGACTGATTTCACGCTCATCTAATTTGTGACCGTAGATTCAGGTTACAGAATGTTATTTCCCAGCAAGAACAACATCAGAACCTTAGGATGGTTGTGTCGTGCAGGACTACCCTGTGCATTGTAGGGTATTTAGCATCTGAGGTTCCAGCCAGTAGGCTCCCTTCCCCATGCAGTTGTCATGAGAACGGAACCCCAGCCTCCACTTGTTAGGCGGCCTAGTTGGTAGCCACCATTATAAAGATGTATTATGACTACACAGCAGGGTGCATCCTATAGGCAGGCTGGGGCCCTTTGGAACTGCTCACTGTCCCCTAGTCACACCAAGGACTTTTCAGTCATTAGGATGAGCAGATATCTGCCCCTAGAGCTATAGGAAGTCTTCCCTGTAGATGCTCAAATTTTGGGGTGCATTAGAATGAGTCTCTAGAGTCAGACACACATAAGTACATATGTGGCACCTTACAAACAATGTGAGGGATCTTTGAGGACCATGCACCATTTTGGAGCCCGGTCTCAAGGTCCATGCTGGAGCATGGCGTGCTGGCCCTGTTGCCTGTCTGCTGTGGTCTGAGCCACTCTAGCCTCTGTTCCTTGTCTGCAGCTTTGCCTCTGGCTGTGTGGCACTGCCCGTGTTGATGAACATCAAGGCTGTGATTGAGCAAAGGCAGTGCACTGGGGTCTGGAGTCACAAGGACGAGTTACCGGTGAGGCCTGGCCCGGGGAATCGTGGGCAAGAGGCACTGGGGAGGACAGGAAGTGGAACTCACCTCCTTTGCTGCCCTTCCCAGATTGAGATTGAACTAGGCATGAAGTGCTGGTACCACTCCGTGTTCGCTTGCCCCATCCTCCGCCAGCAGACGTCAGATTCCAACCCTCCCATCAAGCTCATCTGTGGCCATGTTATCTCCCGAGATGCACTCAATAAGCTCATTAATGGAGGAAAGTAAGTTCCCTGTGCTCTACTCCACCTTGGCTTGGCTCTCCTACTGGCCACCCCTGAAACGTTCTTGGTTCTCCTCCCTTTACAGGCTGAAGTGTCCCTACTGTCCCATGGAGCAGAACCCGGCAGATGGGAAACGCATCATATTCTGATTCCTACCTGGAAGGAATTTTGTTGAAAGGGGTTTTCACCTGTGAGCCTTGGTCTGTCTCAGTAGGGTGGTTAGCGTCAGTGGACTGTGGTTGGTTTCAGAGCAGCTGGCTGAGGAGTTCCGCTGAGGGGAGGGCTGGAGCAGCCCTTTGGCAGAGACTGAGGCGGGAGATGGACCAGCCCACACCTGGCAGCTGGCTCCATGGCATAAGGAAAGGGAGATGCTGGCCTCTGTGCTCCTGCTGTCTCTTCCTGTTTTTATTTGCCCTTGACTTAGTAGCAGCCGACAGAGTGGCAAGGCACTTGGTCTTCAGCAGTAGACATCCTTCTACCCCTGCCCTCAGCCAAGTCTCTTGCTGCCATGCCAATGCTATGTCCACCCTTGCCCCTCGGCCCAAGGGTGTCCAGCGGTGGCCCACCTCTTCCTCCCACTGTACAGCCTCAACAGTATGTACCATCTCCCACTGTAAATAGTCCCAGTTAGAATGGAATGCCGTGGTTTTATAACTTTGAACAAATATATTCGCTGCCCTTCTCATTTCTCCTGGCCAACCTTTAGCCTCACAGACAAATGATGACCACATGTCTACCACACACAGGTACTGGGCGCGGCCTGGTGGCTGCTGCACACAGAAACGTGGCCAGCAGGTGTCCAGTGTCCAGGCAGAAAGAACCCAGCTTGCAGCCCTGACTGCGGGGAGCTTAGATGTCAGACCCCAGGCAACGTGCTTTTACATATACCCATTACCAGATCTTATTACCTCCATGGGAGAAATCCGTGTAATGGGATTCAGGAAAATGAAATAACTTGCACAACAGGCTCACAGCTTGGAAAGGAAACAGCTTGGAGTTTTAACCAGATCTGACCCTCAAGCCCAAGCTATTTCCAGTTTATTCCAGGGTGCCTGAACTTGGTTGCTGTGTCTAGAGTCCTGTGAGTTTACTCCAGGGTGCCTGAACTTGGTTGCTGTGTACACTGAGTCCTGTGCAGGGCCTCTGACAGCAGTAAGAGGCCCCAAGTCTAAAATGTTTGAAGGGATTGGGTTACTAAGGCCATTATGTTAAGCAAGAGAGATAGCCTGGGGGGATGCATTTTAGCTTCATATTCCTATTCAAAATTTGCTGTGTGGGTGGATAAATTGCTTCCATAAGCTTCACAGTGGCATTTAAGGCTCCTGGGGGAAAGTTAGGAATGGGGGTGTTCCTGATGTGGGGGCTTTAGGCTTCCATGAAGTGGGTCTGGGCCCCCTGCCTTACCTCACAGCCCCCATCTACCCTGGAGGAGGGAGTTGAAAGCGCTGGGGTAGCAGCAGGATCAGTTCTCAGCTTGAGCCAAAGCACCTGGCCCGGGCAGCTGAGCATTAGCACAGAACCCTTTGAGTCCTTCGAGCTTTCTGGTGAGGAAAACCGCTTCACTCTTCCCGCCCACCAACTCGTTGGCCCAACCAGCAGCTGCTGCTTAAGAAAACACCCACAGACTCACCAAATTTTAGTCTTAGCATTTACTTTCCCCACCCCACTTTCTTGGAACAGCCTTTAGTTCTACAGGAAATGGCACTGATGGACAGAAGACTGGCATTACCTTCATGAAAGGGCTGTTAGAGCTGCCTGGGAAGAAGGCGAGCCTTGGGGAACTGGGAAGATGCAGTCAGTGTGTGTGGGCAGGAGGACAGCCAGTCATCCCGCCGCCAGCCCAGTAGCTCCCAGCGGCAGGTGCCCAGGTGCTCCCGGAGCCCCTCATAGGGGTAGGGGCAGGGACTGCACCTCCTCCAGACACTCATCGTAGGCCTCCTGGTACTCCTCGTGGGGCTTGACCATTATCACACAGGTGGGGCGCTTGGAGCCTGCGGCTGCACCCAGGTCCTACAGAGAGGAAAGAAGTGCTGTTTGGAAAAAAGGCTGTGCAACCTGTATGCCAGAAAGTCACCAACTGATGACCCACCAGCCTAATCTGTCCCACAACCATGTTCTCTTCGGTCCATGTTCTATTTAAAAGCATCTTGAATTGGTTGCCATCATTTAAACTCAATCAGACTTTCAAGGCATGGTCTAGCCACACACAGCCTACATTCCCACATGACAGCTATGAAAGGGCTCCAGTCCAGCAGGGGCCGTCCCAGTCCCTGCCATCCCTCACTTCCTGTGCCTCAGATCTGGCCCCTGCTATGTAAGATAAGGACAGCTAGAGGTCCCCCTGAGCCTAAACCCACCTAACAGGACTAACATGGGTGAAGCATCTTAGCTTACAAAGCTTACACACATACATCTGTCTCTTTATTCTCATAGTCCACAGAGAACTGACTTCGGTTCTTACTCTGAGGCCAAATGGTAAGTTCCTTCAGAACAGGGCCTCTCCCTGCTTTATCCCAACAAGTGATACTGTAGCTACCCAAGATCCACCCTCCAGCCTTTTTTTTTTTTTCCCCAGACAGGGCCTCACTCTATCATGCAGTCTGGAGTGTGGTGGTGTATGATCATGGTTCACTGCAGCCTCGAACTCCTGGGCTCAAGTGATCCTCCCACTTTAGCCTCCCAAGTGGCTGGGACTACAGGCATGTGCCACCACACCCAGCTAATTAAAAAAATTTTTTTTTGTAGAGATGGAGTCTCACTTTGTTGCGCAGGTTATTCCTGAACTACTGTCCTCAACTGATCCTCCTGTCTTGGCCTCCCAAAGCACTAGGATTACAGGTGTGAGCCACAGCGCCTGGGCTAGGATTCCCATTTTATAAGATGGGAACTGAAATGCAAGAGGTAACTCATCTGTAGTCACAAAACTAAGAAGACATGGAGCCGAGAATCCATCCAGGCCTGTCTTAGCTCCAACACTCCTGGCTCTGTCCTATACTCTTCTGCTACGGCAGACGATCCCAGACACCCCAGTGCTGAGCAAGGTCAGGGGGCCATGTGCTCCTTACCGTCTTCGAGGGGATGTAGACATAGGGCAGATTTCGGTCCTCACACATGACTGGGAGATGGCAGTATACCTCAATGGGCAGTGTGTCTCCTGCCAAAACCATGATCCTGAAATGAGAGGAAACAGTCATTTCTGGCTTTGCTCCCTCCTTTCAGTTGTAAGTGCCGCCCTGGGCTGGGTCTTAGGGAGAGAGAGAAAACTGTGTTTGGTGAGTGCACTCTTCTGGGGTGATCTCTACCTCTTGGCAACATGTAAGTGCCATCAGAGTGAGGTAGTGCTCGGACAGGTGAAGTACAGGATGGGTGCCAAGGTGTATAAGCTCAGCTCTCTTTGGAGAGTCAAAAAAGCTTTCAACCAGGAGGTGATACTTGAACAGCACGCTAAATGATGACTGTGTCAGGCAGCCCATGGAGGGGTTGGGAGTGGGGAGAGCATGAGGTGGGAGAATCAGAATGGCACCGGAGAGACTGGCAGGGGACACCTCCAAGGCCTTGAGTACCAGGCTAAGAAGCATGGGCTCTGTCCCAAGAGTGACAGTGAGGCAATGAAAGCTTGCCACAGACGCCTCAGCCAGGGTTCCTAGCTGGCCAGGTGTGAAGACTGGGGGGGCAAGGGCCTCAGGAGCCTGAAGACACAGAAGGAAAAGTCTGCTCTCCCACACTGGGTAACAGGCAGACACACAAGGACAGAGTCCTCAGCTGAAAGCGCTCTTCCCCACACCTAGCGCTCCTCTGCTGGCTCCCCGTCTATTAAGCGCCTTTAACTATGAGTGTTCCTCACAGCCTTGTCCTCGGCTGCCATCCCCTCGCAGTACCTTCTTCCCGGCTGACCAGAGCCACTGCCGTGGGGTCAAGTGCCATCTGTGTGCTGAAAACTCCCAGATTTACCTACCATCTCCAGCCTGGCCCTCTCTCTTCCATGCTCCAAACCCCTATAGCCATCTGCGTATTTGACAGTTCTCCTGGTGGGGGGAGGGGTGGAAGTCATGTGTCTACGGCACCCCAAAACCTTATCCAAAGCCAAGCTTGTGATCTTTCTACACAAATCTGGTCCCCCTCCACTGTTCACATCTCAGACTGGGCCCTCTCTCCCTCCAACTGGGCATGCCAGAACCTAAAAGTTGTCATTACCTCCCCATTCTCCACATCTAAAGTCCTTTCAAATCTGTCCCCTCTAACTCTGTCTCCACCATCACCTCTCCACGACTACAGTAGTCTACTGCCTGAACTTTCCCCAACCTACTCGTACCTCTCTAATCCTTTCTTCAACTGCCAGAAAAATCTTAGGGTGTAAAAAATAATAAAAATTATGTCACTTCCTGGCTTTAACCCCCAATAGTTTCCAAAGCACTGAGTATAAAAACTAAATTTACTGTGGCCTACAAGCCTCCTAAGAAGGTAGCACCTCTGCTCACCAGACCCTCTCCTGCCCTGAGGCCTCTTTATTCTGGCAGGATCCTCCCACCGCCCCCCTCCAAATTAATCCCTGTGTCTTAAGAGCTCAGCTCAAATGGGACTGCTGAGGCAAACTTGCCCTGAGGTGCCCTCCCCAGCGAGGTTAGACGCCATTGAGCATCAAGTGTGCCCAACATTATTGAGCTCTTGAGCACCCACAGTTTCACTTCTTGGGATAAAGCACGGAGGCCCTGTTCTGAAGGAGCTTACCATCTGGCCTGAGAGGGTGATACAGGGAAGAAAAATGTAAGTAAGTTTCAAACTTTGATAAATGCCATTAAGAAAAGTGGGGTGAAGAAGTACTTCTCATTGCACTCTGTCATTTTCCTTCATGGCTATCACAACGTGTCATTATTTGTGTGTGTGTCATTATCTGATCAATGAATGTCATTGTTTCTCCCACAGCACAGTGCCTGAAAAAGAGTATACCCAACAGTTAAGGCTGCCTGCCAGGCGCGGTGGTTCATGCCTGTAATCTCAACGCTTCGGGAGGCCGAGGCAGGAGGATCCCTTGGGCCCAGGAGTTCAAGACCAGCCCGGGCAACAGGGCGAGACTCCTCTGCCTCTGCAAAACAACAACAATCAGCCAGGCGTAGCGGCGCAAGCCTGTGGTCCCAGCTACTTGGGAGGCTGAGGTGGGAGGATCACTTGAGCCCAAGGGGGACGAGGCTGCGGTGAGCTGTGATCGCACCACTGCACTCCAACCCGGTGAGAGCTAGACCCATCTCAAAAACAAAAACGTTAACGCTCAGCTCCTTAAATACAGAGCTGGAGAAGGGCCATCCCTAGGACTGAGATTCAGGGCTGAGGGGATTAGGGCGGAGGCCCGAGGTAATCTGAGGCAAGGAGCGGAGCCCGAGGAGGAAGGTCCCTGCATTAATGAAGGTGGGTCTACCCTAAGGAACTTGGCTTACACGATTCGCTTCACTTTGGAATTCACTTTGAGCTCGTACACGTGATGTATCGGTATTGTACCAAAGGGACTTTACCGACTGCTTGATTGGCTTCTGCATATGGGGCTAGGTCAGAGTCAACCTTTTTACTCTGCACCTACTAAGCAGAGATTTCTCCGTTTACGTTTAGAAATGGAAAATCTAAAGAAGGGTTCTTACCCTTTTTCTCCTTTGTTGACAAATTTCTGAACCTCTTTCACCCCGCGCCGAATCTGCTTCTGCTTCACGGCTGCAACAACAGAAGAGTCGGTCGGGGGCCTCGCCCCGCCACCCGCGACCCCATTCCGGCCACGCCGGCTCCCGCCTCACCTTTCTTGATGCATTTGTAGAGCTTCCGCGTGAGGCGGCGAGAAGCCAGGGGCTGCGCGATGGGGTTCTGGTTGACCAGCAGCTCCTGGTAGGTGCGCTCCCCGGAGCACGCCTCCGCCTGAGCCTCGGGCCCGTCGGGATCTGCCTTTATTTTGGTCATCGCAGCGGCCACGGAAACCTAGTCCCAGGGAGGCGAGCCCACGCGGTCCCCAGCTTCAGGCATCACTTCCAGGTCATCAGCTGCGCGAGAAGCCGCCGCACAACACGGCCAATCAGGAAACGACGTCTCCGACTCAGCCCAATCGTTGATGCTCAGCTCCGTGACTACGGAGAGCGGAGAGGGGCGGAGTCATGGTCCTATAGGCGGGGCCATCCCCTATATATTAGTATTACTAGTTTGTAATACTAATTACCTTTGATCCTGATGTGGCAGGCCTGCCATTTTTGTGTTGCTGCAACAGGCCAGTAAGTAGAAACTTAGAAGTGTTCTGGTGGTTGTGGGTGGGAGCGCAGGTCAAGAGACGGGGCGGAACGGATTAGGGCGGAGCCGAGGGAATGTGAGGCTAGGGGCGGAGCCGTGGGAATCGGGGCCGGAGGGAGCGGGGCCCTGGGTGCTGGAAAGGCTGTCCCCTTTTTTTTCCCTTTTTGACAGAGTTTCGCTCTTGTCGCCCAGGCAGGAGTGCAATGGAGCAATCTCGGCTCACTGCAACCTCCGCCTCCCGGGTTCAAGCGATTCTCCTGCTTCAGCCTCCCGAGCAGCTGGGATTGTAGGCATGCGCCACCATGCCCGGCTAATTTTGTATTTTTAGTAGAGACGGGGGTTTCCTCCATGTTGGTCTGGCTGGTCTCGAACTCCTGACCTCAGGCGATCCGCCCGCCTCGGCCTCCCAAAGTGCTGGGATTACAGGCGTGAGCCACCACGCCCGGCCTAAGGCTGCCTCCTTTCATGCATAATTTTTCTTACTTTGTTTTCTGACCCCGGACCCTGTTGCGCAGGTGTGAAAGATACAGAGCAAGTAATGACCCCACTGACCTGAGTCTGCACCGCTTTTCCCCAGATAGCATGTGGCTCACTCTCATCCCGCAGGGTTCCGTTCCAGTGTTTCTCATGGGAGAGGTTTCCCTGATGATTTTATCTAAAATTGCAATCCCCTCTCTCTCCAAACTGGCATGCCCTCACCACTGTTTTCCCCGCAGTTCTTACCATTGCCTGACGCTACACATGCGGAGGGCCTAGCCAAGAAGCCATCGGGGGCTGAGGGAAGGACGGCTCCAGCGAAGCCGGGAACAGCGGAGGGAAGGTTTTGGGACGGAGCTCCCTGTAGTGCACGGGGAGAGCTATGAGGAGCCGCCCTTTGCATGGGTCCGTAGAAGGTTAAGGGACAGAGCTGCCAGGGCGTCGGGGGCGGTGGCAGGCCGAGATCCAGTGGATCTTGGTATCTCTGATTAGCCGCTTCCACTATTTTTTGGAACTCTGGATGGATATTAATTAGATAATCGCTGCAAATTACTAATTTGTAATACTAATTACCTTTGATCCTGATGTGGCAGGCCTGCCATTTTTGTGTTGCTGCAACAGGCCAGTAAGTAGAAACTTAGAAGTGTTCTTGTGATTGTGGGTGGGAGCACAGGTCAGTTAAACCAACTTAAAAGTTGGTCTTTCTCCTGTGTGGTGATTCGTGCCTGTGGTTCCAGCTACCCAGGAGGCTGAGAGGGGGATCACTTGAGCCCAGAAGTTAGAGGCTTCAGTGAGCCATGACTGTACCTGTGAATAGCCACTGCACTGCAGTCTGGGCCACCGAGGAAAATCCTGTCTCTAAAACAAAACAAAACAACAACAACAACAACAACAACAACAACAAAAACCTTTTAACTCTGGAACTAAAGTGCAATCAATTTTATTTGTTTTGCATTAAATAAAAACAAACAGGCCAGGCGTGGTGGCTCACATCTGTAATCCCAGCACTTTGGGAGGCCGAGACGGGAGGACCACGAGGTCAGGAGATCAAGACCATCCTGGCTAAGACGGTGAAACCCCGTCTCTACTAAAAATACAAAAAAAATTAAACAAGAAAGGTGGCGGGCACCTGTAGTCCCAGCTACTCCGGAGGCTGAGGCAGGAGAATGGGGTGAACCCAGGAGGCGGAGCTTGCAGTGAGCCAAGATGACGTCACTGCGTCCAGCCTGGGAGACAGAGTGAGACTCCGTCTCAAAACAAAACAAAACAAAACAAATAGCTTATTACGGCTGGGCGCGGTGGCTCATGCCTGTAATCCCCGCACTTTGAGAGGCCGAGGAGAGCGGATCACTTGATGTCAGGAGTTCAAAACTAGCCTGGCCAACATGGTGAAACCTCTCTTTACTAAAAATACAAAAATTAGCTGAGCATGATGGCATGGGCCTGTATTCCCAGCTATTTGGGAGGCTGAGGCACAAGAATCACTTGAATCTGGGAGGTGGAAGTTGTAGTGGGCGGAGATCACACCACTACACGCCAGCATGGGCAACAGACTGAGACTCCATCTGCCCTCCATCCTGGGCGACAGAGAGAGACTCTGCCTCAAAAACAAAACAAAAAATATTTTTAAAAATTTAGTATTTTGACTGGGCATGGTGGCTCATGCCTGTAATCCCAGCACTTCGGGAGGCTGAGGCCGGCAGATCATCTGAGGTCGGGAGGTCGAGAGCAGCCTGGCCAACATGGTGAAACTCCATCTCTATTAAAAATACAAAAAATTAGCTGGGCGTTTTGGTGAGTGCCTGTAATCCCAGCTACTCGGGAGGCTGAGGCAGGTGAATCGCTTGAACCTAGGGGGCGGAGGTTGCAGTGAGCCAAGATCACGCCATTGCACTCCAGCCTGGGCAACAAGAGCGAAACTCTGTCTCAAAAGAAAAAAAAAAATAGTATTTTATCTTGTTTGTTTATTTGCTTATTTGGGAGATGGGATCTCAGTATATTTGTTGCCCAGGCTTGCCTTGAACTCCTGGTCTCAAGCAATCTCTGCCTCAGCTTCCTAAGTAGCTGGGACTACAGGTGCACCTGCACCTACCTTAAAATTTAATTTTTTTTCTTTTTTTTTCTTTTTTTTTGAGACAGAGTCTCACTCTGTTGCCCAGACTGGAGTGCAGTGGCATGATCTCGGCTCACTGCAAGCTCTGCCTCCCAGGTTCACGCCATTCTCCTGCCTCAGCCTCCTAAGTAGCTGGGACTACAAGCGCCCGCCACCAAGCCTGGCTAATTTTTTTTTTTTTTTTTTTTGAGACGGAGTCTTGCTCTGTAGCCCGGGCTGGAGTGCAGTGGCCGGATCTCAGCAGCTCACTGCAAGCTCCGCCTCCCAGGTTTACGCCATTCTCCTGCCTCAGCCTCCCGAGTAGCTGGGACTACAGGCGCCCGCCACCTCGCCCGGCTAGTTTTTTGTATTTTTTAGTAGAGACGGGGTTTCACGGTGTTCGCCAGGATGGTCTCGATCTCCTGACCTCGTGATCCGCCCGTCTCGGCCTCCCAAAGTGCTGGGATTACAGGCATGAGCCACTGCACCAGACCTAAAATTTAGTATTTTAATAAGAGAAATTATGATGTAATCCATGCTCACTTTAGAGCTTCCCAAAACTCTTCACAAATAGAAAAATATATCAGTCATCAATGAACATGCTATATAAACAATAAAAAACAATTCGAAAGCAAATAAGGTTTGTATATACAATGTAAAAAATAATTTGATCCTTTAAAGGTTTTTGTTTTGCGATTTCTTGAGAAAAGATAGCTCCTTCCTGAGCTTTAGGTTACTGTCAGCTTTTGCCTTCCTGCTGACAACTTTGCCGTACCATTCTCCACCCCCATACTCTCCCCACTCTTCTTCCTCCTCTTCTGTCTTGTAATAGCGGTTCTGCCCCTCCCTGGGAATCCTTTCTTGAGTGTCATGTGGGTCTGTGAGAGCAGCTCTGTGGCCTCCTCCGAGCACACAGTGGCAGGGCTCTGCAGGGTGGTTTTCTGTTCTTGTTTCTGAGTGGTGTTTCTGCCTTTTAGGACAGATGAAAATGTGCCAGGTTCACCAAGGGGAGAAGTACTGCCAGTTGTGTGCATGGGGCACAATGAACTCTGTCCAGCAGAGTGATGGAGAATTTCATTCCTGAGAAACCCAATTCAAACAAATTCAAACAAATGGACTCACTTGACTGACCTCACTCAGAGCCTCAGTTGTGGAGTCCCTTCAGCTCTTACATGGAAGGAAAAAGACAGTTAACATGTTAACATTTATGTGGCAAGCATATTACATACAATATCTCATTCAGTGCTCACCAAAAAATACCTCTATGGTAAAGGTAAAGACTTTACCATCCCTTTACCAGGAATAAAACCTTTATATTAACAATTTACTGACACACATAAAGGTGAATAGTTTGGTGTAGCTCACACAAAGCTGGATTTGAACCCAGGTCCACTTGTCTCCAAGCCCAGACTTTACCCATACCTGTGATTTGACATTTGAGTTTAGCTAAAAAGGATATGTAAATAGTGAAAGTGTAGGAACCTCAGTTTGGCCCAGGTCACACGTGTCTGCATTTTGAGCCATAAGACAATGAAGTGCTGAGAAAAAATATGTGTTCAGAAAACCACACTGTTTTGTTTTGTTTTATTTTCTTTCTCTCTCTCTCTCTCTCCCCCGCTCTCTCTCCTTCTTTCTTTCTTTCTAAGACTGAGTCTCCCTTTGTCACCCAGACTGGAGTACAGTGGTGCTATCTCAGCACACTGCAACATCCGCCTCCCAGGTTCAAGTGATCCTGGCACCTGCCACCATGCCCAGCTAATTTCTGTATTTTTAGGAGAGATAGGGTTTTACCATGTTGGCCAGGCTGGCCTCGAACTCCTGACCTCAAGTGATCCACTCGCCTTGGCTTCCCAAAGTGTTGGGATTACAGATGTAAGCCACCGCAACTGGCCTGTTTTCTTTTTTTGTTGTTAACACACTGTGTATTTCCTTCTTTCTTTCTTTTTCTTTTTCGAGACAGAGTCTTGCTCTGTCGCCCGGGCTGGAATGTAGTGGCTCAATCTTGGCTCACTGCAAGCTCCCCCTCCCAAGTTCATGCCATTCTCCTGCCTCAGCCTCTCGAGTAGCTGGGACTACAGGCGCCCGCCACCACGCCCAGCTAATTTTTTGTATTTTTAGTAGAGACGGGGTTTCACTGTGTTAGCCAGGATGGTCTCAATCTCCTGATCTCATGATCCACCTGCCTTGGCCTCCCAAAGTGCTGGGATTACATGCGTGAGCCACTGTACCCAGCCAATACACTGTGTATTTCTAAGGCCAGACTCAGAAATCTGTTCTGAACCCAAGTTGTTTTGTGTGAGTTTATTGCTTTGTTGATTTTGTTGGAATGGCTACTATTTGAGGTTATTTCTTTTTTCTTTTTTTTCTTTTTCTTTTTTTTTTTTGAGATGGAGTCTTGCTCTGTTGCCCCAGCTGGAGTGCAGTGGCACAATCTCGGTTCACTGCAACCTCTGCCTCCCCGGTTCAAGTGAGTCTTATGCCTCAGCCTCCCAAGTAGCTGGGATTATAGGCATACACCACCATGCCTGGCTAATTTTTGTATTTTAATAGAGACAGAGGCTCACCATGTTGGCCAGGCTGGTCTCAAACTCCTGACCTCACATGATCTGCCCACCTCAGCCTCCCAAAGTGCTAGGATTACAGGCGTGAGCTACTGTGCCCAGCTGAGCTTACTTTAAGCAGTGTACAATGACTGATAACATAAAGATTAATGGGCACTAGTCCAGGGCTCTAAATGACAAATGACTTTAGGCAAGTCATTTAGCCTCTCTGGGCGTCAGTGCTTCACCTACAAACTGAGAAAGTTAGATCTAGATGGACTAAGGTACATTTTTTTAAAAATTGAGGAGGATTTTTTTTAAATTGAGAGATAGATAGATAGATAGACAGACAGACAGATGATAGGTAGGTAGATAGATGATAGATTAGATGATAGAAGATAGATGATAGATAGATAGATAGATAGATAGATAGATAGATAGATAGATAGATAGATAAATAGATAGATGATAGGTAGGTAGGTAGATGATAGATAGATGATAGGTAGGTAGATAGATGATAGATAGATAGATAGATGATAGATAGATGATAGGTAGATAGATGACAGATAGATAGATAGATAGATAGATAGATAGATAGATAGATAGATAGATAGGTGATAGATAGGGTCTCCTCTGTCTCCCAGGCTGGAGTGCAGTGGCTCAATCATAGCTCACTGCAGTCTTGAACTCCAGAACTGAATCAATCTTCCCACCTCAGCATCCCGAGTAGGTGGGACTACAGGCATGCACCATCATGCCAGCTAATTTTTGTATTTTGTGTAGAGATGGTGTTTTGCCATGTTGCCCAGGTTGGTCTCCAACTCCTGGGCTCAAGTGATCCACCCAGCCTCAGCCTCCCAAAGTGCTGGGATTACAGGCTTGAGCCACTGGGCCGAGCCACAAATTGAGATATTACCAGGCATAGTGACTCACACCTGTCCCAGCACTCTGGGAGGTTGAGGCAAAATAATCACTTTTTTTTTTTTTTTTTTT